TCTGTGTACAAATGGGCGCAGGGGGCAGTGCAGCTTAAACTGGCTGGGGAGGCAGGTTTGGGGATCCAATCCTTTGTACGTGGGAACGCCATGCACGCGCGTCTGGAGTCCGCACATCGCCCGGGCGGGCGGGTGTGTGTAGTGACGAATCCGTGCAAGGGAAGCAGCGTGCGTGCGCGCGTGTCCTCCCCAATTCCAGGCGGCTTGTTCTGTGCGATGTGTTTCGTGCAAGCGCCCGAGAGCCTTTGCTAGGGTCGGCATCCCAGAGGAGAGAAGTAACTTAGCGGGTATAGCTGGCTGGAGAGCTTAGTGGTTTCGGTATCTGATTGGGAGTTCGATTCCTCACCTGCCTCCAGGGAGGGGAGCCAACTTGTGTGGCCTTGGCCATGTTGGGTGCCCCCAGCAGAAGGTAGATGAAGAATTATAAACCACTTTGAGTCTTCTCTGCCTAGAAAATCCTGAAAAACGGTCACCATAAATCAGCATTGACTTGAAGGCACCTTATTATTATTTATTATAATTAAATGAACAGGTATAGTGGGACTTGTTCACAGGAGCATTAGTAACTCATGCGCCCAGCATCATTAGATAAATTATTATTATTATTCAGCCAGCACAACCAAGAATATTAACTAAAAGTAGGATTCTTTAGAAAAGCACCACTGACTAGAAGAGGGCACATCCCCCACCATCCACTACTGATCCCCTCTGTTAATGGCTGTTCATGGTCTAAACCTCTCTGCTGATCCTAAATTAAGTGGATTTTTTAGTCTTTTGTTTGTCTTTTGTTTTATTATTATTATTATTCAGCCAGCACAACCAAGAATATTAACTAAAAGTAGGATTCTTTAGAAAAGCACCACTGACTAGAAGAGGGCACATCCCCCACCATCCACTACTGATCCCCTCTGTTAATGGCTGTTCATGGTCTAAACCTCTCTGCTGATCCTAAATTAAGTGGATTTTTTAGTCTTTTGTTTGTCTTTTGTTTTTGGAAGGCTGTGACCTTTTACATCTACTTTTTGAAGCTGTAATTGGAGATCTGTCTGGGTAAACATAATCAGAAATGTGTACAGGCACTGCAGAGCCCTGTCTGTTTTGATGTCATTTCTCCCACAAGACGAGTCCTGGGATCCCAGATCTCCTCTCTGGAACTGGCAAGGGCTCCTCTTGGGGAAGAGGACAGGGTGGTTGTTTTGCCAGGTGCAAGCCCTCCGAGAATTGGAAGGCTGGGGTCATTGTATTTGTAAAAGCCATATTGTCACAGAACATGCCCCTTTCTGACCTTGACACAGCCAGTGTTGCTTGTCTTCTAAGACTGTCTAGTCCAAAAGGATGGCTGCCCTGAAATCCAGCATTTCTTCTCTCCTAACAGGCAGTGTGTGGCTTCTTGGTGATTTTTATTGCCCTGCTTAATATATTTGCATCCCTATAGATTCTGGCCCTAAGTGTTTCCTTCTGTCCACTCTGTCCTCATTGGTTAAATGAGCAGTCTACCTGGTCCATGAGCTGTTCCATTTGGAGGCTTGCTCCTCTCATTTATCCAGCTTAAATAGAATAGAGAAGCAGTTAAAGCAAAGTGTTATTAAATAATTGCACAGTCCTTCCCATTCAAACCTCTCCCCCTCCTACTTCTATTCCCCTGAGTTTTGTGTTTTTTAAATTCTCCTCCAAAAGCTGCCATTTAAAAGAAGCTGCTCTTTACCAAAACATATATGTAAAAATCTAACCCCTGTGATTTGGTACTTTAGAACTTCTCTGGTTTTCCCTAGACCCAGCGAACAATAGCTTCCAATAAGGATCATAAAATTTTGATTCTTCTTTACCTGCTGCATATGCATCCGTGTGTGTGTGTGTGTGTGTGTGTGTGTGTGTGTGTGTGTGTGTGTGTGTGTGTGTGTGTGTGTGTGTGTGTGTAAAAAATATATTTCCTTCACAGGTAACTGGCATTGCAATTTTTCTTTTCTTTTTTTATTGCTTGTAAATCACAAGTTAAGAGCCTTGGCTTCATTTTTAATTTCCCCCCTTCTTTGTGTCTTATTTTTCTTTTTATGGCATTGTAATGTTGCTGGGAGAAATAAGGAACGGGCTCATTAAGCACCAGGCCAGGGAGAATCTGATTTCATGACAATCAATTTTTACTTTTCAATGGTTTCATGAATGCAAAAAAAAAAAAAAAGGAAAAAAAAAAGATATCCGCTACCACCCTCTTTTCCTCTTAAGGTGCTACATCCAGAGTTTTGCAAGGTTAGATCTAAGTAGGCTGTGTTCCTTAGGCTTTTCTTGTTCTCTTTTGCAGAAAACAGGTTCTCAGCCCCCCCCCCCATTCTTCCATCAGTCTGGGAACATTGTTCTTAATCAGAGAATCCTTTGTTTTAAGCAGTTAACTAAGTGGCCTTTAAAGAGTATATATATTTTGGTGGATGGTGGGAAAGGCAGAGAGATCAAATGAATTAGGTGAGCTTTGAGTTTGGAAAAGAGGTTTAGCTACCGGGTTTTCCAGCCCCGAAACTAAAGAGAACTTTCAATGCAAGGCCTTCTTGTTTTTTGAACTAGGGCTCTCTCTGTGTGTAGAAACAATGTCAGCTAAAAAAAAAGCGCCCAGAATCTGAGTGAAAAAGCAGGCCATCCTCCAGTACGTCTTACTGGATCTGTAAATGCTTATAATTTCAGGCCAAATTAAGAGCAAGGGAATATATTATAACATGTCTTTAAAAAGACTGCGAAAGGTACCCTTTCAAAAGAAGCATCCTGTGGACTTCAGCCATTTTCACCTATTGTTTGTTTCGTTTGTGGCTCTGTGAATGTCACCTCGGTGTCCCCCTTCATCTGTTTTTCAGATTTATCACAACATTCCCTGTGTCTCCCATGTTGTTTGGCAAATGAAATTTCATGATTGTCTGTAGATACCAAACCCCCACTATGAATGCCAAGAAATAGCAAGACAAAATACCATTCTTTAGCCTGAACATTTGATTGATGTTTAAGCCCACTGGAATTCTTATTTCTTTCCATTTTTTTCTTTTTCAGTCCATCCAGCAGTAGACAAGGAAGTCTAAAACCTTGATGGTTTGGATCATGCCGTAGAATCCAAAATACAAATCTTGTAGTGCAGAAACCTGTACATATTGTGGTAGAAATCTCAGAATTACCTATTAACTCACTGAAGAAAAGAACAGCTTCCCGACGCTCTGGATATGGAAGTCAACCTAAAATAATAAATGGCCACGGTGCAACATGCTAGTACTTGCACTAATACAAGAAACTGATCTCCTATTAGTTAGGGATGTAATTCACCTTAATTAAGCACCTATTTTTCTTTAGCACATTTTTATCTTCTAAATCCAGGATAGTGCTGAAGGAGTGTCCCATTTTATCCTCACATGATGGTAGCTTATCCAAGACTGTCCAGTGAGATTACAATGTAGATGACTGGTTTCAGATTTATATCTTTTTATTTCTGTGTATTACAGAATTTCCCATTGATTAGTTAGGTCATTTGCTGATCCATCCAGCCTAATACTGGCAGCTCTGACTGGCAGAAGCTTTCCAGGATTTGGATTCTTTACCAGCTCTACCATGAGATCCCTGGTATTCCCTTGAAATTTCCCATCTAGGTACTGGTCAGCATTGACCCTGCTTAGCTTCCCGAAACCTATGAGATTGAATGTATTCAGGGCAGTATGATGGTTCTGCTTGCATAGAAGGTTCCTGTTTATAGCTTTGGGGAAAGACCATAGAGTGCATAGATGTGTTTCTGCAAGTTCTAGGTGAAACTCCTTAACACATGCTCACAACTGTTTCTAACCTTAGCGTTAGTCAATGTTCTTATTTTTATGCAACCTATTTATTCTGTTCCTAACCTACATTTACACCCCACCTTTTCTCAAGGCAGTGTAAACGGCTGTCCGTATCCTTACCGTATCCCTACAACTGCCCTCTGAGGTATGTCAGGCTAAGAGAGACTAACGAGTTGAGCAAAGAGAGGAATCTAGATTCCCCAAGTCCCAG